AGGTGATTAATCCTCATTTAGAAAGACAAATGGGATGTGCATTGAACTTATGACAGGAGTCTACCACAAAAGGCATCTGAAAGACTCTACCTAGCAGTGTTTCAAAGCAGACACTAAGACTCATAACCAAACCCTCGGCAGAGTGCAGGGAATCATATGAAAGAAGGGAAGTTAGTATGATATGGAAAGGATAGGAGCTCTACAAGGACCAAATATATCTGGGCACAGGGTCTTTTCTGAGACTGAAACTCAACCAAGGACCATCTATGGATATAACCTAGAACTTCTGCTCGGATGTGGCCTGTGGTAGCTCAGTAACCAAGTAGTTTTCCAAAGTAAGGGGGACACGGACTATTTCTAACAGGATCTCAAGGGCAGGCTGTTTGACACCTCCCCCCAGGGGAGGAGCAGTCTGTTAGGCCACAGAGGAGGACTTTGCAGCCAGCCCTGAAGATACCTGATAAAACAGGGTCAGATGAAAGGGGAGGAGGTCCTCCCCTATCAGGGGACTTGGAAAGGGGCAGGGAGGAGACCAGGGAGGGAGTGTGGGGTTGGGGAGGGAATGAGGGAGCGGGATAGAGCTGGGACACAGAGTTAACAAAATGTAACTAAAAAGAAAAATAAAATAAAATAAAAAAAAAAAGAAAACTCTTCCTGGATTGAGGACTATTGTATTGGCTGTGCAGTTTGTTTGATTGTTTGTTTGTTTGTTATTTCCCAGAGAGACATATTAAACCATGAAATCATGTTCTTAATGTGATATAGCCATGTAGAGCCAGCAAGGGCTCAGTCCTCTGATAATTCTTCATCCTGAGGTTTCTTTATTTCCAGTGCTATGCAATGCAACTTGTGTGGTGGGGTTAACACACTGGATATGCTCCTCACACGTACTTACTTAGTTATAGTTATGCCGAGCCAAGACTGTTTGAGCATGTTGGACATGTGTTATTATCCCATTCGAGTTTATCATCAGGCTGTGTTTTAGGAGGGTTTTAGTTCTGCTGTGATGTGTGTCAGGTATTTCCCCAAAGATATTTAATGCGTAAGTCAAACACCTTTAATAAATTCAGCCACTTACTTGGAAATGAGATGCTTACTATGGGACTGGGTGAAAAGGTGCTGTAAAATGACAAAACTGAGAGCCTACTTTTTGTGTTTCTTGTTTTGCTCTAGGCAAAGGCAGCTCAAGCGTCTCATCCGACGTGAGCTCGAGCACAGATCACACACCAACCAAAGCCCAGAGGAATGTGGCCACCAGTGAAGGTAGGCTATGCTCGTCTTCCTATTTCATCTTTTCACAGAGCGGGCTGAGAGACAAAGTGAACATGGGACATTTTCTTCTAGTTTATTGTATGAGAGTCTATCAGATTACTAAACAGCAGAAGGCAGTGACCTCCAAGGTTCACTTTGGCTGTGTTGTTGGTACTGCCATTGAGGTTGATTTGGTGGGATTTGAGTGTCTTAGTGTGAAGACAGATGCCAATAATTTGTGAATAAGTGATAGGCTGACTCAAGAGAAGCCACTATGATATCACAAACTAGTGTTTCAACATGACAAAATGGTATGATATAAGAGCTTTTGATACAAGTTGAGAGTTCCTACAAGAATGTGCAAAGTTCTTAAATTCAGAATGGTGCTGACAGGAGGGTCACAATCCTGATATATGTCGGACTTAATCACTGATGTTTGAGATATGCAAAGAAAAACTTCATTTCATTACCTAAATAAATTATTAAACATGATCATTTGAGCACTCATGGTTCATGAAGGACTCTGCAGTTGCTTTGGTGGAAGTACCTGTTGGAATTCAGTTGCTTCCCAAGAAGCTTTGAACCAGTACTTGATTGACTGAGAAATTATTTCTGAGGTATTTAGTAGAAAGTTGGCCCAATTATTTCACTTTAATGTGAAGCACAATGGATTACTTCCTTCCCTCTAAATTAATTATCCAACAAAGGTAATGTTTATGCCATTTGTGCTAGAAGGCTTTTTTAAAATAGGGCCAGCTTATTTGCATACTTTATGCAGCCAGATTTGCTCATATGTACGGGATGCTAAGGAAGCTTGAATCCAGGTTTTATTTTTGAGGCCAAGTTTCTGCTGCTCCTAACAGCAAGAGCCATGCTCACAGGCTGATGCTGGCTTTCTCCGATCTTAGGTTCTGTTTCTCGGTATCGGAACCTACTTATTGGTGATAGCATTTTCACCCCACTGGTTTCTCTTGACTGGTGGCAGGGAGCACAGAATGACCTTCTCAGGGCTCGTTATCCCCAGGCCAGTATATAGGTGGCTTGGGTGGCTGGATTCTGTTTACGTGTGTACAGACCCTTGTGCTGTTTCTTGTGCATCAGCAGCTTCTAAGGCTGATGGATTGGAGTGTTCTACTTAGCACAGCAAAGGGCCAGGTAGCAATCCAATTTTAATTTTCCGCTTGCTAAGTTAAATAGGGGCATTTGATCATTCTTGAAATTCAGTGGAGGCAATGAGCAATCTTCACTGTTTGGTTATAGCCACTTACTTTTGGGACCTCCATTCTGACAAAACAGAATGAAAAAGACTTCCATTTATTCAGAGTAGTTCTGTTCTGCTAAGAATCCCTTTTATGGGATTCTCAGTTTTTCACACTAGTATGTGGCAGTTACTCTTGTCACATCCATGTGTCTATGAAAATAGTTTTAAATAATGTGTGTTTGCCTGTGTTTGTATTCTCTTACTATTCTTCATTTTCCTTTTAAACATGGAAAATACTAGTGCTTTGTTGAAAAAAAATGGGAAAACATTCTAGGATTTTATGCATTTAAAAGTGTTGCTATTTATGTTGAAAAATAAAATAATGAAAGCTTAGGGACCTCAAGCCTCCTTCCCTCCCCCCCACTGGAAGAGTTATTGACTCCCAAAACAAGGTTTTATACATTTTGTCATAATTGCATTTTATGACATTATGCAAATAATGCCAAGGGGGACTAAGAAAATTTGATATTCTTATGAAAAAGAATTTTTACCAATGGGCTAAATTAGTGTGGAGTTCATTTACAGATCTTAGGAGGAAAAGCCTCACCCTTGTGGAAGATGTCATTTAGTTGGAGAGCTGAAGCAAGAATGTGTTAAACTTTGCTGCCTGAAAGAGGGGGAGGAAGGGAGTGTTTCCGATTAATGAAATTTTAAAATATTAACTAACTGCAGCATGGGCATTTGCTTCAGGGAAGCGTGTCTGAGGGCCACCTAAGGCATAGATGCTTCTGTGTTAGGCTGGTGAGTAGCCAGGGCTGATTTTTCCTTACACAGATGACAGGCCCTCAGGCTGCTTCTCGGGATGAATGATTATGGTGGCACATTCCCTGACCTCCACACATGGATTTACCTGATGTTGTGAGTTGCTTCCTACTGGAAAATGCCAGGTGACCCTTATTGGCAGTGCTTTGGTAGATTAACAAAAGGCCAGTGTCAGCTTCCTACAGAGATGACAGAGGACCAACGCTCCTTTAAAACTTAAGCTTCTGACTATTTATCTACCATTTTCAAGAATTATGCTTAATCTTAAATTTTAAAAAGTTTGTGTGTGTGTGTGTGTGTGTGTGTGTGTCTTCTCAATCACATACATGTGAAATTGCCTATGGAAGCCAAAGAGACATTGGATTCTCAGGAGCTGATGTTACAGCAATTGTGAGCTACTAGATGTGGGTGCTGGGAACTGAATTCTGTAGAGCAGAATGTACTTTTCATTGTTGAACAACCATCTCTCCATCCCCACTGTTTAACTTTTTGTTTTAAGAAGACTGTGGAAGAGTGGAACTGGCTTTTTGTAGTGATTATCTTCAGACTGTTGACTTACCTAATTTTTTTTTCACCTCTGACTTCATCAGCATTGCCTTCTGGGAGCAACA